TATAAGAGTAATCTTCCACTAGTAAATTGCTCTTTCGTCGGAAATACGAAATTATCTTTTTGAAAACAATAGAAAAACAAACTTTTTTTACAATAACTAATGTTTGCTATCGAAATACATGTAATATTCTGAATCTTGAATTTTTTTTTCGTTGATATTCATTCAAAATGACAACATCCATGAAAGTTTTTTTTTTTCAAATAAATCTATCACTTGTTTATATGTAATGCATAATAAAGCCAATATTTATTTTCTAGTGCTATTCATACCTACTGAATTTTTAATAATCACACTATCTCTATATCTATGTTCATATATAGTATTTGGAAATATCTTACAGATGATGGCAACAGTAATGTTATTATATGTGATACCTACTGATAAAGATGATGAAATATTTTTTTAAACGACTTCCCCAATGTTTTATCCAACTTGTTGCAATAATTCAATTGAACAAGAATAATATTTCCATAGAAAAAGAAAAAATCATATTGACTGGTAATCTCATTATAAAATTATTTTGTGGAATTCACATATATTTTTGAAAAGAAAAGTGATGAGCGTAAGTGTCCTACCTATGAGCTAGAGCAAGTGGGAAAAGTGTTCACAGGTCAATGAACTTATTTCTCCTAGCAACCGAAGACAACAGACGCCAGACTCTTTTTCCATAGTTCTTTAGCAATGAACAATGGCGATGAACGGCATGTTTAGGCTGTTCTAATTAGTTGATCTCTATTTCTATCAACATTACTTTTTGCGTGTCTTCTTGACATATGGTAAAGAATTGAATAATAATGACAGAAGAATAAAGAAAATGTCGATGTATTTTTTGCGATTAATCTATCAAAGTTTAGATAATTAAACGAAAAACTTTCGTAATTGTTTTTTTTTATGTTTCAACTATCGTTGATCGTATGCTAAAGTTTCTTGTCAGATGATTTGCAAAAAACCAAAATTCAAAATTTCAAAAATGTATCAAATTTTATTTTTCTTATCGACATATTATTTATTTTTAAATATCGATCGGATTAAATTTCTTAAAGTAGTTCGAAATATGCTTCCACCACTTAATGTATAAATATAAAATGGTAACCCACTAGCAAGATAAGTAAGAAGTAAGGCAAAATTATAAATAAATTTGTTAATAGTAATATGTAACAACGACTTGGTCGTATTCACTGTTAGTGTTGTATAGAATTTTTCAATTGCTTGTGGTATTGTTAGAATAGAAAGAAATATAATTTGAATAAAAAGTACGTGACGTAAGTAACGATCGATTCGTTTTTTTCGTTGTTGTTGAATATTTTTAGATTTTAATCTATTTTTATTATTATTATTTATCACAATTAATTTTCTTTTTAATGATTTAGCTGAACACGTGCGACGTATATTTGATATTGTTACTAAACCAAATATAAACATAATGGATAGTGGACATAATATTGTTATTGTTGCATATGTCAAATCAGTTAAAAAACGACATACGGCATTTTTACCATAACATGCAAGTGGAGTTGAACTTATATTTGCCTCATAACAATAAATCATTTGACAATAAAGAAGAATAGATAAAATAATTATAATTATTGTTCCTCGTTGAGCATTTTTTAATGAACTTCTTTGTCGTCGTTGATATTGACTACATGATGAAAACCAACGATCAATTGTAGCAAATGCAATAAGCCAAAAAGCTATTGTTCGTGAAACAAAAACAGTAAAAGCACGAATTTTACAAATAAGATTATTTGTATCTGTTAAATCCATATTCCAACCAGCTAAAATTCTTGTTGTTAAACCAAACGTTATAGAAATCATATTTGCAATGGATGAAATTAAGAAAAGATAAGCACATGGATTAACACGAAGTGTTGGTTGAGATAAAACAAAACAATTAAGTACATTACCAATTGTACCAAAAATAAAAATAAAAATTGAAAAATAACGATTGACCTGTATTGATATGTACTCTAATGTTCCCACTAAATCTGTATTGGAAACGTTAAACATTGAAGAGAATGAATTTTCATTAAGTTCTAAGGAAAGAAAACAGACTTTAACATAGATAGATATCAACTTGTTTGTATAGTACAGTGATCGGAACAGATTCTGCTACTAGTAGAATTTGATAAATTTTGATTGCAGCCATCAAATAACACCTCATAGAATGACAGAAAACAATATTATAAATCTAAGATTATCGACATCTTATGTTTTTCATGTCTCAGTTGTTTTAATGTCTGTGTTCGTGCAACAACTCATGCAAAAGTGTAACATCATGACGTGATGAGAAATCCTTCTGATATGTTAAAAGCATTGCTTTTCCTCAAGAAAAAGTTCTATTGAATATTAAAGCATTACTTTCAAAGTTCTTATGGACGAAAGAATCTTTGTTGAAGTTTGGAAGGTACAGCTCGAACATGTAGAAAGACAAAATGTTCACAAGAATCGGCTACAACATGACTTGCTAATGGGTTGAAATGTTGAGGATTTATGTCAATCTTTGACGATAAGAAAAGTACTAATAGAGAACTATACGTGACTCGAGAAAGGACAAGGATAATTTGAAAAATGATTGAATGGCAAACAAAGATTTTCTACACAAGTCTTTTTCATTAGCAATATTCAACACCTTATTTTTTAGATTGCTATAGAGAATCTAAGAGTCTAAACTAATAAATTAGTTTATAGTTAGCAGAGATGCAGAATCTGCCGTGATTTTAAAAAATTTCCCCTTACGGTGGTGTCTTCCCCCAGCTATTTCTCCAAAATTCTCCTATGAATCGAAAATTTTCCCTATACGGCCGTATGCGCACACGGGTAGATTCTGCACCTCTGATAGTTAGTAGGAAACTATTATTTTCATTACTTATATGCATGCGAAATCTCTTCAAAGTTTATATATTGAGTGTACATCATAAATCTTCTTCAAAAGTTTTCTTAAATAATTCAGTTGCTTGTTTGATTTATTTAAGCCATCATACTGTAAACTTTGAAAAGTTTTTGTATGCATATGAATAATGACAATATAGGTTTCTTACGAACTACAAACTAATGGATTAGTTTAGACTCGTAGATTCTCTATAACAATCTGAAAAGATAAGGTATTGAATATTGCTAAAAAAAAGACAGCTTGAAAAAATTTTCGTTTGCCATTTAGTTATTTTTCACATTATCACTACTCTTTCTTGAGTAATGTATAGCTCTCTGTTGGTGTCATTTTTGTCGTCAAATCCTCAGCATTTCAATCAGTTGGCCGATTATATGATTGCTGATCCATGTAAATGTTATATTTTGATATATTTTTGAGCTGTGATTAACCCAACTGCAACCAATAGTCCTTCGTCGACAAGAACTCTGAAAACTACGTTTGACTATTGAATAGAACTCATGATTCAGAAAAAAAAAAAAAATTTTTATCACATCAAAACGACTTCCTACCACATGACAATGCTGAACTTTCGAATGAGTTGTTGCAGCAAACAAAGACACTGAAATAACTCAGATATGAAGAACACAGGGTGTCGACAATGTTATAATTATAACATTGTTTTCTGCCATTCTATGGCAGATTAGTTGGTAGTTGTGATCAACGTTCATCGAATTCTGCTAATAGTAGAAACTTAATGGTAAAATGTGCATGTTGAAATAGTTTTTAGCTGATAGCAGCACCTTGTGTGATTAATTCATGTGATGTGTTTCTATCGTAGTTATTAAATGGCGTATTTATGAAATCTTTATGCTACATTACATCCAATGTCATGATTATAAATAGGTGTGAAACTGTTTTGTCGTACCTCTTTTTGTAGAAAATAATTGCATTATTATCATACTAACAACGTTGATAGAGGTTTCTAACAGAAAAAAAAAACAACAGATTTAATGAAATCTTATGCTTTTTTTATACATGATATTGCATCTTTTAATATTGTTCGTTTTTCTGAAAGAAATTTTTAATGTAACTCTTTTTATATTTAAAGGATGTTTAAGTCATTTATTGAGAATAGAATTCATCAACTGTGTAATTCATTAGACGGACTAGTTTACTCCAATGTTGTTCGATTACATCACTGAATAAAATCACAAATATAAAGTGATGCCTCAAAATACATCTTATAAGAACTACAAACCTGGTCTTTCAAAAACGTCTTGTGCATTGATCATAATGACGCCTTCCGTAAACAATAGATTGAATTTATTCCATAGAATTTTATCTAGAATAATCAGTACATTTTGTATTCTGTACGTAATGTATGTTTTCTCTAAAAGGTTGATTCAATACGAGAATAGGAAGAAAAAAATGAATAGCATTTACTTAGTTCAATAATAAAAGGAATGAAGCACTTGTTCTTTCTTTTTTTCTTCTATTGAATGATGCTAGTTTTTAGTAATATATAAGAAGAAGAAGAAAAAAACAAGAGAACGCCGAAGAGAGAGAGAGAAAGATGCTTAATGTATTCATGCACAAAAAAATGTTAAGAAAACTATTGAAGCATTTGTCATTTAAAGTATGTGATCATCTTTCAAATTAATCAAGTCTTTTATTTATTTTTCCTAATATTCTAAAGAAAAAAGTGCCCTTGATATTCTTATCCAGTTATAATTATCTGTTAAGAATTCATGGAACATCATACAAGTTTATAATAACATGACAGTTGACTTTTTAAGAAATTCATGTGATGAATTGCAGTTCATCACTGGTTCTGTTAGTTATAAAGAATGACATATCAATTTCCTGTATTTGATGTTTATAATAAC